CGTTCTGCATCTGCCCAGCGTGTCCTCGGGCTGAGCTGGTTCCCGGACTTTGCAATGACAAACAGCGCAGTAATGAGTAACCTCGTGTGTGCGCACTTTCCTCTTGTTTGCGGTACTTCTTCAGGGTGAATTCCCAGAAGTGGGTGGCCGGGCCAGCGGGTGGTGTGTGCTGTGGATAGAGCAGCATCGGGTGTCCGCCCGTCCCCTGGCGGACGGCAGGCCTTTGAGGCTGGTCCACAGCGATGGACGGGGTGTCTCTGCAGTTCCGAGCTGCTTTTCTCTGAGGAGTGCAATTGAGTATCTTGGCAGTTGTTGGATGGCCTTCATTTTTTTGGCAACAGCATCCTACGAGGTGTGAGTGGGCGATGTCCGTGGTTCGCCCTCGGGTCCCTGCCTGTGTGCGCGACACGCCTCACCCTCCCGCAGCTGCTCTCAGGACGGGTCTCGGGCTTCCCTGTTCCTGAGACCTCGAGGCCTGAGCAGGGTGGTCGGGTAGCGTGTCCGAGTGGGGTGGTCGGTGTTTCTCTCAGTCCCTGGGCTCCAGGGTCGGAGGAAGGGCACAGATGTGAAGTGCCCTTCGTCACGTCCTGCCCATTTCACACTTGGCTCTGACTTCCACACGGGGCTCCAGCCCGACTGCCTGCCCAGGGGAGTTCACCATGAGGTGCTCCTTTTCCCTTCTTTGTGGCCCCGCCGGCGTCTCCCTGACCTCGCCTGAGGCATGGATTCCTAGAATTGACGCCAGCAGCACAGTCACCAAAAGGTAGATAGATTGGGCTTCGGAGGACACGGTCCAGGAAGCAGAGAGACAGCCCACAGAGTGGGAGAAACCTGTAAACCATCTCTGACGAGGGATTTGCATCTAAAATGTGCCAGCGACTCTGAAGCTGGGCGACAGCCCGGTAACGAAGGGCAGAGGCACGATGGACTCCCTGCGAGGGCGCTGTCCAGGCGGACGCAGCCACGGCGGGCTCTCCCTCAGGAGCCCCCCTCCCGCCCTCACCCTAGGCGCCTGCCTTTGCCTTTCTGTCACCCCAGGGCCCTTCTCTTGCTTCTGTGACTCGTTTCCTGAGCCTGCACAGCCCAGAGGCTCACTTCCACTTCTGTCACTTTCTAAATAAACTTTCTCTTCTGATTAAAAAAAAAAGACACATCCCTCTTTGTCAGCAAGGTGGGTGGCTGTTGTCAGAACGGAGGACAGTGACTGCTGCGTGCAGGCGGACGGTCAGACCCGACCTCCGTCCTGGTGGACACGTGAACTGGTGTGGCCGCTGGGCTACACCTGGAGGCCGAGGTCTGAGCTCCGGGCGCCAACAGGCCCGCTGGCTCTGGCTCTGGCTCCTTGTGGCCCCTCGGGCCCTGCTGCCCCTGGTGCTGGGCTCGCTCGGCCAGTACCATTGTGACGCTCGGTGCCCAGATCCACCCCTTCCATAGGATGTGCCTATGGGCTGTTTGATTTATTAGCAGGAACGAGTCTCTCAGGGTGCTCAGCGCCTCACTTGCTCGGTGGTGAGGCTGTTCTTATGGGAAAGGCAGAACAAATGCTTGCTTTTCCCCTTTACCTTTCCATTTTTCAAATCTGGGAGTTTGAATTTGTTCCCAACTTATTGTTGGTCCCTTGTCAGCAGGAGGGGAATAGTTGTCACTGCCCCATGGGCACGTGTATGGAATCACAGGCAACAGTTTCGTCATTATTGAACTCAGGTGTCCCATCTCCTGCTGCTGTCACGCGGGCACCTCTGTCCCTTTGGTCCCCATAGTTGTAGATGGGGTCACACCCCCTCCCTGCTTTTCCTGTCCCAGCCTCAGCCATGCTTCCCGGGAGCCCTGGGTGCTCTCAGTGGGCGATGGTGCGTGGGACATCGGTCACTGCCCCAGGCAAGGCGCCCGGCTCTCTGCTTCAGCTCTGGCTCCGCTGTGAGGCAGAGTTCTCCCTGCGGGGCTCCCTCCCTGCAGTGGGGTGACTGACGCACACTTGTGGGTTTGCCCCTTTCTCTCCCAGGGCTGAACATGGAGCTGGAGGACATTGCGAAGCTGAAGAGTAAGTGCTGTTCTCACCCCCACCACCCACTGTGGCTGGTGCTGCCCTGACCACCCTGTGCTCCGCAGTGATCCTGCTTCGCCTGGAGGGCGCCATCGATGCTGTGGAGCTGCCTGGAGGTGACGGAGGTGTCACCAAGCCGGGGAGGTGAGGGACTGGGAGCTGGCCCTTGACCCCAGGCCCTGCCTGCAGCTGGAGCGGGACGTGTGTGGGGCTCTGTCCTGGCTGCCCAGTGGGGCCCCTCCCAGGTCTGGAGGCCCAGGAGGGCTGCTGACTCACCCGGATGTGCACTGGTCTCCGCTGTGTCCCATCCGCTGGTGCTCAGACACCAGCCCAAGCACACCTTCTGCTAAGATGGAAAGTGCAGTCACACCAGCCACTTCCTTAGGCCTCAGAGGGCCCAGGCTATTCTGACAGCCCCAGACGTCTAGGCCGCCCTGAAGCTGGGCAGTGGAGTCCGTTCCTGCAGGCGGGTGCCGGGTCCTGGCTGAGGCTGGTGGTAGCCCCCTCAGTCCACAGCTGACGCTGCGCTGGGACCAGGCCAGGTTGTCGAGGGTTGGATTGGTCAGGAACATACCAGAGCACAGGCCGCCGTCTGCTCTGCTGCGCTCAGATGCTCACAGACACCCCGTTGCCTCCCAGATGAAGCAAGCCCCTGCCTGCCCTGCCCCACACCATGGCCCCCAGATCTGGTGCTGCCCTCCCATCTCTCCCCAAAGCTGGCCAGAGCCACGGCCTCAGGGGGCCCTGACGACCTCCACCTGGAGCCCGGGCCCAGGGGCTCCTGGTGTAGAGGCTGTCCCCTCCAGGTGGCCTCCTAGAGGGCTCAGGGCTTGTTTCTGAAAAGCCATTGGCCATTAGGTTCCCAGAGCCCAGCTGGTGACCTCTCTCCCCGGCAGCTACATCTTGGAGCTGTTTGCCGAGGCCCAGATCACACTGCAGACCAAGGGCTGCATCTTGGAGTCCCTGGACCGGATCATCCAGCACCTGGCAGGACGTGAGTCCCACCCGCCCTGCGCCTCCTGCTGCCTGTGCGACGGGAGTGCCACGGACATGGGACATGCGGGCACGGTGCCGTGCCATGTGGTGCTTGGTCCAGCTTTGCACCAGCCAGCTGTTCCTAGTCAGCTTTCCAGAGGAGCAGGGTCACGGAGCTGTGGGCCCCGCCGGGCTCTGTTCCCTCTTGGGCGGAGGTGGGGGGTGACTGGGCAGCCTCAACCTTATTTGCTCCCCCTCACTGATACTCTGGAGACACACGGGGAAGAGCAGGCAAGCCCCTTCCCCAGGTGGCCCCTGTGGATTTGGGGTGAGGCGGAGCTTAGCACATGTCCAGGAGGCTCCTGGCTCCTGAGGCTGCAGCCTTGTGGTCAGTGCCCACTGCTCCCACAGGCGCAGGGCTGTTCACCAACACGGCGGGACTGCAGAAGCTCGTGGACATCATCCAGGTAGGACCAGGGGCGCCATGCAGGCGGCTCCTTTCCCCATGGAAGTGGGGTGCTTCCTTCTCCTGCACTTGTCACTCGGCCTCGACTCGGGGCAGGGCCAGGCCTGCGCGCCCCCTGCCTCAGAGCCTCAGCCCTCAGGCTGCCGTCCCGCCTGAGCGACTGCCTGCCTCGGGCCGCACTGCACCAGGGGCAGTGGGCAGAAGCCTTCTCAGGCGTTTTCCTGAAACAGCTTTTCAGGGCAAGTCTGAGTGTAAGCCCATCACAGAGGGGGGAAGGCTCTACTCCCAGCCCCACGTCTGGCGCAGAGCCCGCCATCCCCGGAGAGCCATGCAGCTCTGTGGCGAGTGTGTTCAGGCGATGTCCCCACGTCCCAGCCAGGCCGGCCTCACCCCGGGAAGCTGCTTTCGGTGGGGCAGCCACCCAGGGTCGGTGAGCCCCCTTCTCTGCAGACCCAGTGGGGATGCCACACCTCAGGCCACTGGGCACCGCCACTTCCTGCCCCCAGCTGCAGCAGGCTGCCCTCCCTCCGCGCG